TTTGCAGAACACTGAAAATAAAAGATTAAATTTTATATACTCCAAAATCAATTTTAACAATTTTTATTATTAACATACAGTAACAATAACATTCCTTGAAAAATGCAATTATCCTTTTTGGACATCATAATAAGAATCCTTACAAAGAACTCAGAAGACAACTCTAAGTTCGGTGTTTTATGTGATTTACATCAATTCAAAAAGAATAGAAAATGTATTCCAATTTATATACTTATATATAATTCACCAGTAATAAGTTTCCAAATCAAATGATGAGTCATACCTCCACACAAGTTTCTATTTCTGTATACTGATTCATAATAGGAAGGATGGTCTCCATACTACTATATTCCACCAGATCAGATTTGTTCCCAACCAATATCAAAGGCAGCCTGAAATAAATAGAACACATTATAATAAGGAAAGACATTAGAGCTGTATTTGATTTACATTCTAACTAAAATGCTTTTATTTTACCTCACCATATCTCCACTATGGTCAGATCAAGGTCCCTAGATAGGAAGTTCACTCACTCGTTTGGCACATATTTATTGAACACCTACAAGAGACATACTCAGATTCTAAGTAATAAGGATACCTCATTCTAACAGAGAAAAGCAAAAGTGAATAATAAGTCAATAAATAATTTCCAAGTCAGTAAGTGTCATGAAGGAACTGAATAGGGCATATGGGATAGAATTGGAAGAGGGAATTAATTATAAAGAGTTATCAGAGAAAAGCTTTCTCAGGACGTAGCATTTGAACCAAGGGGTAAACGACAAGACAGAATGTGCCACATGAAGAGCAGGAAAGAGATGACTGGGAAGAAGGGGCAGCAGCATGTGTGTAGGACCTAAGTAAAAGAACCAGCTGGTGAGACCAAAGAACTGGAAAAAATCAGAGTGGAAAGAACTCAGCAGAGAGAAAGAAGTGTAAAATGGAGTTGAAGAAAGGATCAAAGACCAGATCCATAAGGATTAAAAGCTGCAGTAAATACTACGGGCTTTAATGTAAACGGTCACAAGCACAGGTGCATGATCTGATTCACTTGTTTGACAGGGCCTCGCTAAATAGCCCAGGCTGCCCTTGAGCTTGCAGTGAACCTCCTGCCTCAGCCTCCCAAGTGCTGGGATGTGCCATGACACTGTCTTGATCCATGTATTTTTGTTGCTGTTGATCCATATTTTTAAATGCGACAATTTGTTACCTTTTAGAAGTACACGTTGAAACTGCACATATGAGAGGGTGTGACATGTCTCAGTTGGACTTAAAATGACCTTAGTAGGAAAGGCAGCAAAGGAAACAAGACTAGCCATGAGTTAACTGGTGAAGCTGAACGAGAGACACATGGGGATTCATGACACTATCCTCTACTTTTTATACTTGATTTTTTTTTCCCCATTAAGAAAAAGTTTTCAGGGGGCTGGAGAGATGGCTCAGTGGTCTAAAGCACCTACTTGAAACAAGCTTGGCAAAGCACAGGGACCGCGGTTCGATCCCCAGCACCACATGCCAGCCAGACCCGCCCCCTGGTGGGCTGAGCTGGCCACACACACACACACACAATAAATAAATGTAATAAATAAATATTTAAAAAAAAAAAAAAGAAAGAAAGAAAAAGTTTTCATTGGACATAGTAGTGCATGCCTGTAATCCTAGCACTCAGGAGGCCAAAGCAAGAGGATTGCCAGTGAGTTGAGGCTAGCCAGGGCTACATAAACAAGTTCAAGGCAATCCTCAAAAAAAAGAAAAGGTTTTTCTAGTGTGTGTGTCGGCTTGGATTAGAGCAGTGACAGTGAAGACAAAGAGGAAAACTCAGGTGAAAGATCTATTTTAGGACTAGAGTGTCTGACAGACTAGCATGGAGTTAGTTTGAAGGAAAGGGAGGAATCAAAAAAGGATGCAGGCTAAACAAAGTGAATAGATTTCCAAAGACAGAGTAGACTGAGAGGTTCTGCTATTTCTCAGTGGCAGTGGGGAGGAAAGTAATGAAGTATCTTGTTTTAAACAAGTGTAACCTGAGAAACCTGTGAGAAACTAAATGGGTTTCAAAGAGGGCTAGTGTAGTGGAGAAGGTCTTATGAATCCTACAGGTCATCTTGGAAGGAGCACCAGGCAACTTGCAGGACACTGTAGCACTTAGCTTACCCTGGAAGTATAACCACTAGGCTTCAAAGAACTGACCCACTGTATGGGCCCAGCATAGATTTCCCCATAAAGCCAGAACCACAGGGGGTTTTTCTACTTGTTTCTGTTTTGCTTTTTTTTGTGTGTGCAACCGAGGACTGAACTCTGGCCTGTGCACGTGCCAGAGAAGCACTTATTCTACAAATTTGCCATGACCCCCCTGCCTCAGCCTCCCGAGAGCTAGAATTACCAGGAGTGCTGGGATTACCGGTGTGCTCCACCATGCCCAGCCCACAGTGGTTTTTAACAAAGGCATATGTAAGAATAATTCATAGAGCAGGAAAAAAAAGAAAAGAAAATACATGCGGACAAATTCTAATTAAAAATTACTGATCCTAAAATTCAAGGGTGGAATGAAAGCATATTTTTGAAAGTGTCTCAGGTAACAAGAATACATGTATTCTTGATTAAGAACCACTATGTAAAAAAAAAAAAAAAGAACCTCTGTGTCATCAAGGTGTGGTGTGGTGGCACATCCTTGTAATCCCAACACTAAAAAGGCTGAGGCAGGAGACCACAAACTCAAGGCTAGCTTTCATCCTACACAGTGAGATCTGCTCATACAACAATAAACCACTGTGACAATGGCCTAAGTACTAAGGAAAAATAGATGTGTAACTGATGTAAATTCAAGGTATGAGGCCCAGATAACAAGTTATTAGGAGAAAAAAAAAATTATTAGGACATATAAAAGCCTGTATAATAAAATATACACCACAACTAAGGAAGTCTACAATGAGAAAAATAAACATGCTCATATAATTAAAAAAAGAGAAAACTAATAGTCGAGGGATGGGTACAGACATGACCACAGACACACATGTGAATGCTAAATTAGATCCTCTAGCCTCTAAAGCTGCTTCCAAATGGCACCAAAAGGAACACCTAAACTAGTCACATTTTAGGATACCACGGCAAAAGACTTCCAATTCAGTAGACACAGCTGATATTTGACAGATCCAGACAAAAGTGCTTTTTTTTCCACTAAAAAGTCCCTTCTGGGAATGGAAGGAAATGACCTGAACAAGAAGGGCAAGGGTCAGGAGAAGTGGACGCTGGACCCCAAGGCAGCACCGCCCAATGGGACACTGCACACCACCAGAACACTTCTCATCTGCTCCGCCCACTGCTGTACTAGTGTCCACGTGGACCCTAATAGTGGCCTATTAGGGTCTTGAAGCAGAGCTAAGTGTGCAGGAGAAAACAATTATTTTTTTTTTTAATTTTATTTATTTATTTATGTATTTTGTGTGTGCGTGTGGCCAGTTCAGCCCACCAGGGGGCGGGGCTGGCTGGCATGTGGTGCTGGGGATTGAACCACAGTCCCTGTGCTTTGCTTAGCTTAGTTTGTTCTAAGTAGGTGCTTTAGACCACTGAGCCATCTCACCAGCCCAATATTTTTTTTTTAAATGTCATTTCATTTAAAAAAAAATTTTTATTTCATGTAAATTGCCACAACTGACTAGAGGCTACTGCACTGGTAGGAACAGCTTCAGAGGGCTCACTGCTGCCTTACCACCTTGTCAGCTGACACAGCACTTAAAACCCTAAGGAGTCATCAGAGCTTCCACAACATTTAATGCTATCACAGTCATAAAGGCTCTTTGGCAAGGGTCAATGACCACCTTCATCTATTCAGAACCAGAGCTTCCTTGCATAAAACTGCCCAATCAGAAAAGAAATGGAAGAAATTGAACAAAGGATTAAATATGCATGACTAATAAATATTAGCCCGATTTTCCTTTCCTAGGACTTAGAGACTCATATACTTTAACGTATGTTCCATCAAATAAGTAACACCGTAAAGAAAATGTTTCATTTCTTCTTTGTAAGAGTCTTCCTATACAGCCGGGGGTTGACCTCAAACTTACGGTAAGCCTCCTCCCTGAGCCTCTCAAGGGCTGGGATTACTGGCATCTGCCAACATACCGTCCCACTTTTATGGCCCGTGGGTTTTTGCTTGTTTGTTGTATCGCTTTGCTGAGACAGGGTCTCATTACCTAGTTGAGGGTGGCCTTGAACTCACCCTGTAATCCAGGCTGGCTTGAACCTGGAAGCTTCCCTCCTTGGCATCTCAAATGCTGGGATCATGTCACCATACTTGGCTGGCTGTTTCCATCTTGACTTAAAACATTTATGCCCAAAACTGCTGCTCTGTTCAGAAAAGCAGAGAATGTATCCCTTCTTGCTTTCTTCCCTAGCACACTGTGAACAACCAGTAATTCTGCATCTGGTAGAGAGAAGCAGTCTAGATGCACAGCTCAAGGGCTGAGCTCCACCCTAGCATGTGCAAGTGTGTAACACTCTGGCTTTGATCACTAGAACCGAAAAAAAGAAAATGGGGGCGGGGGGGCACAAAGCACAGGTAGAAGGTACACTGTAAAGCTAAGACTTTCAAGGTGCAATTTGAGCCAGGCAGGGTGGAGCACGCCTGTAATTCCAGCACTCGGAAGACCGAAGCAGAAGGATCTGGGCAAGTTCTACACCAGCCTGGGCTACAAAGTGATTTCAAGGCCAGCCTGAACTACATAGCCGGTCTCAAAAA